TCATTTACAATTTATTTAGTTTCCTTTCCAATAATCTATCTTTGACTAAAGACGATTATTGTATATTCTAATGAAATAAGTATAAAACATAAGTTACTTTCAAGGAAATTCAACAAATATTATGAGTAGTTTTTATAATTCATTTACAAGTAATTAATAAGTAAAAAAAAAACCTATAAATTTTTCATATTTTATTTTAATTTATATGAATTTATAATGTTTACTAATTTTATAATGAAATTAATAAAAATTATGAGATAAAATTGGTTATGGTAATACATAATTATCATGGTTTCCAAGTTTCCAAATAAAAATGTTGAATTATCATATTTTTGGTTGTATGTAATTATCAATAATAATTATTAAAAGGATCATTTTTCAGTGAAATAGTGATTTAATTATTGTAAACATTTTTCATTTTTTTTTTCATGAGATTTTTTATATTTTTTTTTTGAAAAAAACGGAAAATGGATAATCTCTTCTAATTGATATTATTTCCAATTTAATTCTTAGGATAATTATAAATATCAATTATTGAAATTTCGAATATTTTTTTTGCAATTTTTTTTTATGCCGTCTCTATCTACCGCGCAAAAACAGGTTTTACTGTATGTGAAATTAGATAAAATATATTATCACCTCTAATGAAAATATGATATGAAAAATAAATACATTTTTATATTATAGAATATAAAGAAAAAAAATAATAATTTTAGTTTATTGAAAATGAAGAAAAATTTAAAACATTTCAACATTATTTATGAATATTTTTAATTAACAATGATTCATTATTATAATTAAATATTATTATTGTATTTGTTAAACAGATTCTAATAAATTTTAAAATATATATTTTCAAACTAATTCAGAATATAAACTACTTTCATTGATTCTAAATAAAGTTCTAGCAAATCCAACAATACATGTAGTAGTTTTTCTGTTTAATTTTTGTTACTTTTTGTGTTCAATAATCTATCTTTGGCATTGGATTATTAATGAATTTTGAAACTAGTTTAAAAACATAAATTACTTTCATTGATTCTATATCCAATCGGAGCAAATCCAACAATATTTTATGTAAATTTTGTAATTATTTTACAACTATTTCATTTACAATTTATTGTTCATTTACAATAATCTATCTTTCATTTTGATACTAAAGATGATTATTGTATATTCTAATGAAATATGTATAAAACATAAGTTACTTTCATTGAATATCAAATACATATTTCAAAGAAATTCAACAAAATATAAGTAGTTTATATAATTGTTTTACAAGTAATTAATAAGTAAAAAAAAACCTATAAAATTTTCATATTTTATTTTAATTTATATTAATTTATAATGTTTACTAATTTTGTAATGAAATTAATAAAAATTATGAGATTTTTTATAGATTTTTTTTTGGAAAAAAACGGAAAATTCTAATTGATATTATTTCCAATTTAATTCTTAGGATAATTATAAATATCAATTATTAAAATTTTGTATTATAAGATATTATTAAAGATATAAGAAACGTTGTTAGTTAAATAATTATGAAATAGCTTACCCATAATGAGTTTTCCTGATGAAAGCAACTTTTTCTGAGAGTTTTCTGCATTCACCTGGATTCGGTGGTGCATTTTCGATGAGGGATACTCCGTAGACAGCCAGATCTCGTAGCCAGTTGTAGTGGGATTCGTCACTGAGGCAATAAAAAAAATTATTATAAATATTGTCATCAATCGTACGATGTTTGTATGGTGAATCATCCGAGAAAAGAATCTCGGGGTCAAGAAAGGGTCGACAAGACTTTGTCCAAGGAAACCAGATAACGGCACATCATTCTTCGATCAGTTTATATTTATCTCTGCTAAAGTTGCTGTCCGCGAGGAAACTTACTCGTTCATAACGTCATCGTACTGATAAGTTTTTATCACGTTGAAGAAGTCCTTCTTGTCCCACAGGATCTTCTCGGGGAGATACGAATCGGCCAGGTACTTCTCTTGCACGGTCCTCTTGAAGCTACGCTTCTTCAGCCAATCGAAGTTGTAAATGGACCTGTGATCATCGTCCCAGTCGATTTCGATTTTGTTATCACCATTGGTCTGAAGAGTGAACATTTTTTAATCAAAATAACCGAGGAGTTGTTCTTACTTTACCTTGATGGATTTGATGTTAACGTCGATATTGAAGTCGTTCCAATTGATGATTCGAGACTGCGAATCCTTGTGATAGCACTTCTCGCATGTACAATTATCCCTCAGCCAGACCAAAGGATACTGGTCGACGTGATCACTGGCTTTCACCACTAAATTATCCTTTTCGATCAGGGCCTGAACCGCACTGTGCGTGAACCTCTTCGTCGGAATCGCCTTGACCATCCGGCTTTTCGTGCTCAGGCTCTTCAGAATTCTTCCTGCCAAAGACGACATACTTGCATTCAATTGCGGCTCGTTTTTCGCTCCGGAAATTGGCCGATGCCGAAAGTGTGTGCTTTTATAAGGTGACTGCAATCCTGGCACTTCCCCTCTCATTGGTCCGTTCACGGAACAGTTGCGGTGGCCTTACGCCATCATCCAATTAGAAACCGAGTCCTTCGCTCGAACAGGATACAACTTTGTTGATTTTCTTATTAGCTCATTCGGGAATCATTTAAACTTTTCGCATATTATTCAGCTGATAACGCAACATAAATAAAGCACGCGTGTTTTTTTATCATATTGCTCATCGTAATTCATCAATTATGTATGCTGTACGTAGATTAATCTCGTTTTATGGTATTTGAAATATTTCAATTATTTGGAACAATCGTCCATTTTTCGCTTCAGCTCACCCGAAAAGCCTCGTAAACCGACAAATTTCAGTTACTTTGTTTAAAACCACTTAAACTTTCAATAGGATCATAAAACTGGAGTAACGTAACGTTGAACATTTACGATGGACTTTGGTGTTAGGCGACAACGGATCATAATTCAATTCTAAATAGGCCGTTCGATAAATATAACATGTAAATGTAATATTTTCTACTCACTAATTGAGATCAACGTCTTCTAACCACAGAGTTCACGATTACATTGAATCAATCGTTCAATAATACATGCTTTTTCTTATCTTGTTTATGTTTATTAGAAATGTTGTTTTCAAAATGAAATTAATATAATTTTTAATTTTTGAAATAACAATGATCAACTGAAGAGAGTTATTTCATTTCTATGAAAACAATTTCGAAGTTCTGATTCCAATCTCTATCAAAATATTTGTCTTTCCCTTAGCAACGTCAACGTCTATCATTATTATTTACATTGTTTTTAACACAACGATTTTATTTTTGAAATGAATTTATTTGATGCAACTAAAGAATACACTCTCAAACATGAATTTAGATAAAAGAAAATTAAATGAAATTAATTTGCAAATTCTGATTCCAATCTCTATCAAAACTTTTGTCATTTCCTTAGCAACGTCCACGTTTGTCGTTAATATTTTTATTGATTTCAATGTCATAAAAAAAATTTGTCATTTACTTAGCAACGTTATTTTATTTTTGAAATTAATTTCTTTGATGCAACAATTTAATATATGTTGGGGGGGGGAGAGAGTCTTGATACTTTGATTTTATAGTAAGAAAATTAGAGAATATTTTAATTTAAACGGAGAATACAATTATAAATATAAAAAGTATAAAGTAAATACGATCAAATAAAGTAATAACCTCATTATAAAAAAAAATGAATTATTTAAAAACTTTTTCACTTCAAATTTTGAAGAAAAGATGTTTCATTTTTGATACAATAATGATACAAATATGATTCAATTTTGATGTCAGATTTCACTGTATTGTTTTTATTCTCGTTTGCTAAGGTAGATTGTTGTAAAAGGCATCAACTTTCAAAATTATGATAGATTTGTTTTGTTTTCAAATTCATTATTGGATCAAAGTTAAAGAAGTGCATCTGCTAACCCTTAAGGTTCTATTGGTACAACAGTGATTTTACATATAAAGGAATCAACCCAACTTACAGTCACATCAAGTGGTTAACTTCAATTAACAATGATATTTCAATAAATTTTAATTTAAATTTACAATATTTTGATTGGTAACTAAAAATTTCATTTTAATGTAAATAAATATGAAAATATTTCATTTTAATATGGAAACAATTTTCAAATTCTGATACCAGACTCTATACAAATATTTGTTATTTCCTTAGCAACGCTGACGTCTGTCATTATTTTTATTGATTGGAATGTAACAAATTTTATCATCATTAGATAAACGATGATTCATACAAAATATCTTTCAAAGTTAAATATAGTAAACTTCAGATTAAAACACATGTATGAAACATTTTGTTAAGAAAACATTTAACAAAATAATTAATTATCATCTGAGCGTTTTGTCCCATACATCGGCTTCTTCATGAGACCAGCCTGATGCAAATGTTACAAACGGTTTTCTGGCTAATCTTCAGATCCTGGGCAATGGAATAAGTACTCTCATGCCGGTCCGACTCGATTTCCATAATATTATCAACATTTTCCACGATTGTACCAGAAATGTCTCATCTTCGACGTCCTTGTTACCAAAACGGAAGCGTTGGAACCAACGCTTTGCTGTTGCATTCGATACTGTATTGGGTCCATAAACAATACAAAATGTTTTGGCCGCCTGCTCCGCTCTTCCCCTTAGTTGTAGTGATACAGAAGAATGTATCGAATTTTATCTTTTCTACCTCCATTTTGGAACTCTATAACACAGAACTGGATTCACTAAACATAAAACTATTAAAGAACTTTTTTGAAAGCGTTATGTCGCCTTTAAGTCGCAGTAAAGAATGACAAGATGCAACTTGTACATCGCGAGATATGGCTCCTTAAAGACATGTAACGAAAAACGCTCAGAACTTTTTACTTCACCTATTATATGAGTTACGCCTGAAGCTATACTTTCCAAGTAACTTGCCAAATATCGCATTGTATTTATATGTGATTAATTTATTGACTGAAGATAATTTTTATTTACCTAATAATTCACAATCAAGAGATTTTAAATATCTTAGAAATTTGCTTGTTCTTTGAAATATTTTAAAAAAATGTTTAAAATGTATTGAAACATAAGGTTTAGTTTTTTCAGTCATATTACATTGAACTTCATATATCCTCAGAATCATATAATTTTATATACTATTAAAATCTTTATAATTATTTACATGAACAGGATCAAAGCGTAAACCTTTGTGGCTTTGAACTAACACTATTTTCTATCTTCCAGAATTTAATAAGCAACTTATCTTATTCAGGGCCGAACGATTCGACCAAATTGGACATGTTACAAAAATAAAAATCTTCGAAGATACACAAATCAAAAATGAAGCAAAATCACTTGAAAACTCAATGAAGAATTATACATTTTTAGTGTCTTTGGTTTTTTTGGTATGATTTACTTTTCCAAGTAAATTTTGTAAGTTTTTTTTTGTAGAGGAGAGGAAACCTTACATAGGGACCATGGGTGGAGTCATTGTACTGTGGGATTCTTACCGCACTAAAACCTCTCCCCTTCTTCGCCAGCATGCAGGGCCTGTATCGCTATACTACTCCACGATGCTGATTGTCATTACGTCTCTGCAGCCTCCGCTCGTCTTCTTCCTTGCTTAGCAGCACCTCCGCTATGTACGCCGCTACAACATTCCAGCTGTCCACACTCCTCAACATTTCACCGACAATATTTTCATGCTGTATCAGAACTCCCAATTCTGCCTCCGGCCTGTGCTTCCTTCCAATCCATCTGCAGCACCTAAATAGCGTGTGCTCAGGGCTATCGTCCTCCTCGCAGTACCAGCATCTTTCATCCTCCTTCTTCGCGATGAAGTGCAGGTACTTGCCAAAGCATGCATGGCCAGACAGCGCCTGGCTCAGGTCAAATGTTGTTTCACCGTGCTTTCTGCTTAACCAAGGCTCTATTTGCGGGATTAGGCGCCGAGTCCAGGCTCCTTTCTCCGACCTGTGCCATTTATCTTGCCATTTTTGAAGCAATCTCTCTCTAGCATCCGCTTTGGTCGCGCCCCTCTGACTCTCACCTCTCTCCAGAACAAGGAGCTCTATTGGTGGCACTCCAGCCATCACCTGCACTGCGTCTCGGGAAATTGTCCTATACGCGCTGCATATTCTAATTGCTCCTCTCCGTTGGACCGTTTCTAGCGCTTTTCTATAGCTTAGAACTGTCATTGCTTGTTCCCATATAGGAGCAGCATACAGCATAATAGATTGAGCCACTACTCCTAGCAATCTTCTCTTGCTAGACTTCACCCTTGTTGGGTGCATCCGCATATCCAATGACTGTTATGTCTGCAGGTTGATTGATCCTTAGCACTTCGTCGTAAGACAGGTTCCATAGGTGGGGGCATAGCACTGATCCCTGCGGAACTCCGCTATTTATTAGCATTTGTTCTTCGACTTCGGTGCTCCGGATCTTTATGGAGCGCTCGCTGAGGTAGCTTCTTATAATTATTTTAATGTAGGGGGTAATTCCTCGTTTGTTTATCTCATTATAATTGTTTAAATTTTGTAAGCTACGAACTTCAATGTAATTCAGTAGACTATCAACTTTCTTTCACTTTCTTAATTTTGAAAAACACTGGATTTCAACAAGTTTCATTTAGTTCAGGCAAAAACACTCGCAGAATACTTAGAAATATCTTTCGAAATAAAAGAAACATTTTAATTATGAAGGCAATGATGAACCTATTATAAATCTGGAAAAAGAAGAACTAAAAGAAATGTAGCAGATTTAGAAATTGCTGCCAGACTCTAAGATTAATGATACATCTATTGATATTGTGAAGGAAGCATACTGAGACGATTATATATATTAGTAAAAAAAAAATGAAAATCTAAAAATTTATTCTTTCATGAAAATATTTCCAACATTTATTTAAAATGTTGCAATTTTTATCTGAAAAGGTTAGAGTTACGGTATTTCCAAACCTTTTCATTCTCCTTCGAATATATTTAACAATTCCAGTGAGCGCTACTTCTGGAGAGAGGTCATTTTCTAGATTAAAACTTGTAAAAAACTATATAAGGTCGACTCAGGATAGATTAAACAGTTTAACAATCATGCTAAGTGAGAGTCAAGAGCAAGTCAGTTGTATTTTCGTACTATTTTAGAAGATTTCTCAGAACAAATACTTTGGAACATGTAAATTATCTGTGTATATTCAATAAAATTCAGCTATATTCATTGTTTTTATATTTGGTACAGGTTTATTCAGAAACCTTATCCACTTGTCTACCTTATGGTTCATGACTTTTGATTTTTATAATTGAATTTTGGATTTTGTTTTAAATAAATATTTAAAATCTATATTTACCTAAGTAAATCCTAACTGTTCATTAATTTTGTTATTAAATTTTGATACTGTCGGGATTTTGATAGAGTCGGGATTTCGATACAGTCGAGATTTCGATATAAACCCACATATGTTACAATCGCGATGTTCAGTAAACTTATATAAGTAATATACAATAAATGGCAATCTTAGTAATTAAGAATTATTGAAATTAAATTTCAAATTTCGTATTTAAAATTTGATTTTAGTGTTTTGGTAATCATTGTTCTTACAATTCCGAAATATTTCTAAAATTTTATGTCTTATATGATTTTCTGCTTAAATAAATTATTCAATATTATAAAATTAACAATTAATCATTTTGTAATTGTAGTTCATTACATACCGATAACGTATCACTTATCTTTTTCTTAAAATATTTAAAATTCCCGCTTCCAGCGATCGGGCAGCATCCGATAACTGTCAGAAACAGAAAAACAGTTGGGGAACCGTCATTTGTTGGTAAACAATTTTACAACACCTGTAATTTAAAAAATTTGCGATTTTATTGAATGAAACAATTTACGTTGAAAACTTATTATTAATTTCTATACATTTTCTAAGTGTTTGAGAAAATTATGTGGGTAAATCATGGAATATTAACGGAATCAGTGAAAAATTTAACCTCTATACACAATTAACTGCCTGTTGCTTTGTACGAGGTTCCGGTAGTTTGAAGAAATGTGCACGAACAATGAAGAGTGCTTAGCTGAGAGACTGCGAAGGGAAAACTATGAACAGTTCAATATCCTAGTTCGGATGCATTTATCATTTGTTCTGGACTTAAATACAGATGAGTATGACTTGTTTTCAAGGGACTCCAATCCATTCAACATTAGGTTGAATTTGTCTCTCTCTGTTTTGCAGGAACGATGCTTTGGTGGATAAAACAAAATTGAAGAAATGGAGTGTGCTGCCATTTCGAAAATCAAAAAGTCGGGGGGTTATGGATGGTGCACCACTGACTCAAGAAGGGATCTGTCAAGTTTATCAGTTAATTGAGTTTTTAAAGAAAGAACCAAGTAAATGAAATTATGAGTTGTTTGGAATTGTTTTGTTTGTAATTGCAATATTTCAGATATTTGCAAGGAGGGTGTATTTAGGAGGACGGGATCTTTGAACAGGCAACATGATCTCCGGAGTTTACTTAATCAAGGAACAACCCTTTGCTTGGAAGGTGGTCCTTATAGTGTGCATGACTGTGCTTCAGTGCTGAAAGGTTTTTTGGCAGAGCTTCCTGAACCTCTGTTAACTGAAGCTCATTACCCAGCTTACTGTCAGATTGCAGGTAAGAAGCTTTCATACTTTTTATTGTTTTTGAAGCTAATTCAACATGAAATTTCATTGAAATCAATTTCAGAAACGTCAGTAGAAAACGAGGAGCGCTTAACTGGATCTCTGCAATTACTGTTCTTGCTGCTACCTACAGAGAATCGGGTATTATTAAAAGATGTCTTGGATCTGCTGCATCTTACTGCTTCGTATGAAGGGCACAATAAAATGTCGGCAGATAGTTTAGCCACCCTCTTCACGCCGCACCTGTTGTGCCCCAGGAAGCTTTCACCTGAGAATCTCCACCTAAACTCGCAGACTCTCTCGGTGATCGTGTCATACATGATCAGAAACTGCAAAGAATTATTTAATATACCGCCGAAGCTTTCGGTCGATATTAAAGCGTATTTGCAGGATCGCGATCGCAAGAAGATTTTGTCGCCGGAGAAGTGTGTTAACGAGTCTGTGACCGACAACTTTGCGAGCACGGTCTTTAGTTTTGTTGATCATGAGAGGACAGCCAAGGAGAACCAATCGAATCCTACGGAAACGGCACTGGCGCAGCTCTACGCCCACATACAGTGTCTACCCGAATCGGCACAGAAGAAGAAACTGGTCAAGCAGTTCAACAAATGCAATGGGAATGGTACACCGGTCGTACTGAGAAGTAATCTCCCGAAGAGCCGCAGCCTCGGTGATTCCATCAAAAAGCACATATTCCAGAAAAGGCTGATAAAAAGCGTGAAGAAGTCGCAGCTTGTACGTCAGCATTCGTCCAGTGAAGAATTATTAAATGTAAGTTGTTTTTTCTTATATAATCAGTTAAACGTTTCATGACATTGTAGTTTCATGTAACAGTAGCGCATAATTAATAATAGTTATTGCAGAGAGTATATGTTGCAAATAGATAAAGTATATAATAATTCTCTATTCTGTAACTATAATATCTGCAGCAGTCTGTATATTTGTCATTATTCTTCTATATATTAATTATTCCGTAAATATCTCGTGTTTATTTTGGTAACATATAAAGCTTAAAATTGTTATATAGTACAGTTATCTCTTAATATTTTATGAGACATACAGTGTATTTGTTGGAATGAAGGAAGCAGTTGATTACATAGTTTATTACGTCTGAAAAAAATCATGTGATGCAAACTTGATAAGTGAATATTTCCAGGAATGTTACACATCATCTTCGCTTACAAATAAACCACTTTTTTCGTAAGTTCATATTGATTTTCGTTATGATGTAAATTGAACTTTGAATATTTTTATCAGACAAAACTGATTCATTTCCTATCAGAAACATTACATTACTACACACAAAGAATCGAGAGGAATTTCTGTTATCGACAAATGTTGCATTTTATTGCAAAATTAATGCTAAATTATCATCTGAATTCAATAATTTTTAAGATTATTTACTTGAACTACTTTTGTTCTTTCTTCAAGGATATTCATTCACCACGTGTTGTTTTGTTAATCACCCAAGCAAGTGCACGTTGGTTAACTCTTGTAATAGCCCAAAATACAAGTCCATCCTCTTTTATGTGTTATATAATCAAATTTATTGACAAAAAAACGGATTAAAAAAAAATAAAACAACCGAATCAGTTTTTCTAAATAAAAAATAAAAGATCAATTGTTCTTACAGCGGTCCCGAAAAAAAAAAATAAAAAGCACACAATTTATCTGGGCATGCACAATTAGCCTATAAATAAAAAGTAAGTGAAACTATAGTAAATAAACAAGGTAAATTATATAAATACATAAACACAAAAATATAAAATATATAAAAGGATAGCAGCTGCATAAAATCATCGATAATTGAGCATATAAACCAACAAACAACCGGCAAACAAACTAACAAAGGGCACGCATCGAATACAAAACTTCATACAGCACATTCATATAACACATCTGCGTGGGTTAAAATTATAAATAATATTTATCTGCACTTAAGTCCTTTAAGTAATCCTTCATGTTTCAGCTGTCTCAATGAATGTATGATCTGCATTCTACTTTCAACTAAGTGCAATTTTATAGCACATTTCCCTTTTCTACAACAATGTAAGTGTTCATGACACATTACGAAAATCTATCTACGTCATCTTGTGTAATAACATGCTTTTGCACTTTACGTCTTACATTTAATGACTCCGTTTTATTACACTCAATTTGGTTTCTAATTCATTTTACACTAAGAATATGCATGATTTATATATAAGCTGATTCCAAAATTTAGCTCACTACTCATTTCCTTTTGTAATTTTTCAATTAAGTTACCAATTTTCACCCATAAAACTCCAGTTTATATCATTTATTGATTATTTTTTAAACATTTATTACTATTTTTAATTAAACCAGATTTTTTTTCATTATTTTTATCACTTTTATAATAATGCCTTAATGTTTTAAATAAGTTACAATACTATCATTCGTTAAAATTAAAGATTTCTTATTTTTTTTATTTTTCAAATAGTACTTTTGTTATAAGTGAAATCAAGTTTAATCAATTTTCTCCTAAAAGTTTTTGTTAGAGATTGTTCTATTGTGTGGATAAGCTTATTTTATTATTTTCCTTATGTTATTGTAGAGTCCAAGGAGCACAAGTCAAAGCAGTATAATTCGAAGTCGTCTCTTTTGTGGCAACTGCGACAGTTCCAGCGAGAACGACGAAACGGCAGCTAAGAAGCTACGTAAATCTACTGAAAACCTTGTACAATCGGAAAATGAAGCCACCAGCGATGAAGATGCAATGAAGAGGAGCGTTTCGGAGCCTGACTTGAGCTCCGATGATGTAATGGGCGTCTACAACACCTATCTGACGAGTACTCCAGCTTGCGTGCCAAGAGCTCCGACCACAATGCCTAATGCAGAATTGCTGGTATTCACACCGGATGATCAAGACCGCAAATCCATGTCTCCAATTACAAGATCCACCCAAAGAATGTCTCGAGCGATGCAGGTAAATATTGAATTAACAAATTGTCATCCAGTAATTAACTGTAATTGTATTTTTAAAGGAAACGATGATGACTCCGAGGAGCCGCAAACCTGTACTCCTCATGTCCGGTACGAACATAAACAACTTGGCGAGCGAGAAGCAGCAGGGCTTCTCCCAAATGGAACACGTGAGTGAGGCGGAAGTCGAAGACGAGGATGCGTCGTTGACAAGCGACTTCCGGGAATACCTGCACAGCAGGAGCCTTCTCACCGCCTCCCCAACGGATCTGAGCTTCTCCAGCCGCACAGACGACTACAGTTCGACGAACATCAAAGATCTGAGCAGCAGCAAAATGAGCGCGTCCTTGCTGTGCTGCATGGATGGAAACGTGCCCGGAAGCTCGGAGGACAAAGAAAACGTTTATTTGGACGAAAAGGAACCCGTGCTCAAGCCAAAACAGTTCGACGAGAACGGTCTGCCCACAGTTTACGAGACGTCGTTCTAAGAACTGCCTATTTATGAAACTCTGTTGCTGTACAGTATTTTTAAACGCGCAAAATCTGTCGCGTATTGCTCTAATTAATCGTAAATTATTACTTTTTTTTAATGTTTGAATATAAATATATATATATATTTGCTACTGTCTAATTGATTTTTTTATATATAAATAAACATAAATATATGTTAATTGTAAAGAAAAGCATTAGAAATGTATCTTCATTCACCTCTCCTTTAAATCTACTTGCAATATATTGTACAGTATTATTAAAAGTACAATTTGTGAGTGTTTCTGCTAATGTATATTTTTACATATTGAATGAAATATCTCAGTTAACACGCTTTGAACATGACTACTTATATTTTTTTAGAAAATGTATAGGAAAGAGGAATTACCATTTAATGTGGTTGGTATGTTAAGAGATGAATTTTGATAGTCCATACCATCCGATGTTGATTCATTTGACGAAGATGTCTTATTCAATTGTCTGGAATTTTGTTGAGTCTATGAATTTCTGTTTCTTCAAAGAGTTAAGCTTATACACAAATTACAGTACGCTAAACGAATGTATGTTACCCACATAAAAGTACTTCCAATTATAAGATACACACGTGTTTATTCGCACGAACGTACACTTTGCGATATATGGTAAAAAATTATGATATGATATATGGTACCATATAAGAGGAGTAGAAATAGACATATTCAGAACAGATGTGTTGGTATTTGGTATCAATTTAATAAGTTATGAATTGATATAATTCATAATATTAGTCGTTTTGTGATGTTTGGATTGGTATATTTTTAATTAATCTTTGTCAATCTGACACTTTCGCAACCAAAAACATCATGCACAAAATTTAGCGACTATCTGGTGTACCTTGTATAATTTCATTTTTTCTGTAAAAAACCGCCAGTTGAATCAAAAGTAAATTAAAAAATACTCCAATTTTCTTAATAATAATAATAATGTTTATTGCATCAGTCGTACAAAAAAAAGCATATACTGAGATAAAAAGATCAAAATAAATATATAATTTTAAAAAAAATCAACTGATACAAAGGGATATTGACCATAGGTCTTTCTGCCAAGGGAATAATTATATATTGTACAAAAAAACATGAAAAAAAGGCAAAATTATAACGGTATCTTTCAAATTGATAAAATGTGTTCACAAAGAGTAAGAGCCGGAAATCCGATCCTAGACCGAACCCCCGACTCTCAGCGTGCAAAACCGGTAAACTGTATCGAGATTGGAAGGTCTGGAGCAATACTTTGCGAACAATATGTCGATGCATTTCAAAATGGGTGCGACCCCAATGCACTTATACAGTAGCTCGTTGGGAGGGTTATGTATTGGATTGTCCGGGTGTTTGTTCCGAGGGCCATTCGCTCCGCCATGGCAAGATTATTAAGACCTGGTCTCATACAATTTATATAAAGAATTGAGGCATAATCAATGATTGGACTACAGATCATTGTGTATATACATGTCTTGATTCTAATGTTCAATCTTCGACCAGACCCCCGATCGCCAACTTTTTTATTAATTGTACATTGGTTCAGTCAGAGTGCCTCATGCACGTATTATCAGATTTTTTTGTCAATCAATATGGGACTTGTTTTTAAATTATTATCTTTAAATATGTGCTAAAAATCGTAAATTATTACTTGTATAATAAAAAATACTTATATTTGCTAATGCCTTAATATATTTTTTTTTTCATATATATAAATAAACATACATAAATGTTAATAGTAAAAATGAAACGATAATGTTATTTATACATCGGTAAAAACAGCAATAAATAGTAATCTCTTAAAACATATCGTCGTGTGTCAGATCGTGAAGCATGTGTACGCCTCTCTCTTTGAGCGCATTTGAAAGTAACTTCTGTTGCTCCTGTTTTCCCTCCTGCTCCTTCCTCTGAGCATCCAAAATATCGTCCACCGAGACTTCTGTTAACGGTAAACCGGCCTCTTTTTGTTCATCCTAAAAACACACAAAGCAATAAATAATCTGGTACTTTACAAACACACTTAAACCACTTACAATTTCACCGAGCAGAACGACATTTTCTCCGCGCACAATGAATACTCCTCTAGGAATATCACCATATTCTTTACCCACATGTATTCTTTCGATTGTTCTATGCAACACTAAATTCGCGAACTGATCAACGCTCCTCAGGTATCCAATCAAGGTTCTGCCATCTCTCAAAAGAACCATCAATTTCTCTGCAAATAGTAAAATATAATTAAATAAAGTTGAATTGTTGATTGATTATTATTGATATTGATAAATAATATTTTTTAGTAACATCAATCATTGGTTTTTGTTGTTTACTCATACAGAAAGAAATTATTGAAATAAAAGATTATTTATTGATAATATTGCTCAAGAGTTAATAATTTAAACTGTTATCAATTGCATTATTAACTATTATACTCTCGCAATTTGAATAGTTAATCCCAGTTGCATAAACTAATTTACTCAATTTTGAAATTACTAATCATTCTAGGTTTACTATATAAATTTAAAATCTAAATGTAAACAAATATAGAAAAACTACAACATGCATAAAGTGTACTTACTGTCTAGTTCATCGAGCAAATGTGCTGTGCCTTCTAATTCCAACTTATTCATTGTATTCTATAAATCAAACTGTCGGATAAGCTGTAAAAAAAAACAAACAATTGAAGGTTAGGTAAAATAAACTAAATAAATGAATATTGAAATTTGCAAGCTGCAAGTAACATTAAAGTATAAGAAATGAAGGAATTACAAGTAAACTTACTTAAATCACGAACTAAGTAAGTTATGTTGTCAAACAGGTTAATGTAAATAAACAATTTGCAGACGAAACGTCAAATAAAAACTTGTCACCATAGTTGTAATGTTGGTTGGTAGGCCTGATTAGGGATTATCTCTCGCATCTATAATCCCTAGATTATAGTGGAATAGATAAATAAACAAGTTTTTGTATATAAATATTGATTTAGGATTGGGACAATTGCTATCTGATTTCGAAGCGCGCATGGATCGGGATTAATTTGATAATTGCATCGAATTTGCATTCGATTTAGGTTTGCTGAAGAACTTCAGCGCACTTCAGGCGCTTAACATGAACGCAGGGGAGTACATTCGGTTTGCCTAATCTCCAATCCAATAAGCTCAATGTGACTCTGGATGTGTGTGTGATCTCTATGGAACTATACTTGATAAAGTGAACGGGGAAATTAAATTGTTTTTTTCAAACAAAAAAATATTGGATTCGGTTTCGTGCGAGAAGAAATATAAAAATAAGTATGTTGTTTGAAAAGAGGCAACACTCGTAGTACGAACGAAAACACGCAGCACAGTTGAAAGTGAGTTTCGCCGATTGTTTGATAAACAAGCGGCTATTTCTGATCCGTCGATATTTTCGAAATGTTCCGTTCATTTCGTCTCTTGCAGATATGGCTACAGCTTGTGTGGACAACGATGAGTTCTGGAGGGTGTGTGCCAATTGGCTTACACAGCTGGAGCTGCTCCGGGCAGATCACAGGGCCAACTGGAGTGAAGCCCTCATCGTTGACCTTGCCAGCACCCTCAGAGATGGAGTGCTCCTCTGCAATTTGCTCAACAAACTGGAGCCGGGATGCATAGATCCAAAAGACTTCAGCCAGAAGCCAGCCCTGGCTCAAGTAAGTCACATCAATTATCCTATCCATATTAATTCCAACACTTTTTCTTTTACAGTTTTTGTGTTTACGGAATATAACGTTATTTCTGACTACATGCAAGAACAATTTTGGCCTGTCAGATGATGAGCTCTTTGAGCCATCCATGCTTTTCGATTTAACAAACTTTCACTCAGTTCTGTGCACATTGTCAGCATTATCATTGACTCACAAATCTTTAAAAAGCAAAGTCCCGTAAGTCAAATTACCAGTTTGCATTTCATCACATCTTAATGCAATCCATTTATAGGGGATTTTCAGTGAAAGATGAAAAAACAGAAGAGGAGGAGGCCATATATCTCAGACTCAAATCAGTGTAAGTAATTCCATTTTAATTTACATTCAAGTTTGTTTTTTGTTAAATATTTGGTATACTAACAAAATTAATTATCTCAGTGTAGATAGCTACATTCAGATATCTTAATTTACTGTAAAAAGTACTATCTATTACATACATATTTTTGTATGTATATATTCATTTATTTTCACCATTAATTATTGTTATTAATTTCACAATCAATTTATCATATTGAATGTGGTGTAATTTCGTTATTAATTTTTTGCATTAACAGCAGTTTTTTTATGTCAAAAGTAATATAATATTTGGAATTTTGCACTTACTTAAATAAGCAAAATATTTAAAACAATAGAAAATAGTTACGGTTTGATTACCTTCAATACTGCAGTATTGCATGAAGGTCGCAGCTAGCAATTTATACATAATCTATGCATGTTTTCGAAGAAAAAATCTAGATATAATTTCAATACATTCATGTAAAAACAGGAAGTCCGATTAACGTTTGTCCTAATGACTAATCAAATATTTATGTTTTGCGTAAACGCGAGTAATTTTTAACATGTTTTTTTATTTATTTTTTAAATGTACGTAAATAATGTGGTTTATTAATCCGAACATAGTTTCCGATAATTAACTGCTGATTCTAATTGCGGTGATTCATGCATTATTCATTGATCATTTATACCATCCGGTCTCATTTAACCTTCTTCAAACGAACGACCAACGTTGTTTCATAATAATAATAATATTCATTAACTAGTCGATCAAATAATTAAATTTTGATTTATGAAGTTTATAATATGCAAATTATTATTGGAAGGAAATGAATGTAACGCAATATTCAAATTGAATAGAGAAGATTTAGTTATAATATAAGAAAATATGTTTGAGAGTTTTATTTATGAAATAGTCGGATTTATATCAGATGATAATTAATAACAGATACGTAATTATTTGATTTCATATCAGCATTCTTGAATTGAACAATTCTATAAATATTTTTGTTTTTATTAACTCACTGATATTTTACTGAAATTACGTTAATTTCTTACGTAAACTTACATCATAATACTATATTTTTTAAAAAATTAAATTAACCACTTGAGATTGTGACTCAGATCCGTCTCCCGCACAAATAGTAATTTCAACTATATGAGAGTAATTCAGAAATTTAGAAAATATGATGAAAATTTATATAATCTAGATCAGGGTTTTCCCAAACGTAGAACATATTATGTAATCGGCACTAAGTAAAATAAAATTGTAGTTGAAAATTGAGAAAACATTTATTATATATGTTACAGTAAAAGTACATAATCTGTAAATGTAAATGTATACACTTACCCAATGACGCAAAAAAAAACAAATCATACAAACACAAAGACCTAGAAAAACCTTGATATATAACAACTGTATCTCGTATTTATTATTTTCAACTTTTACAGACATACGTAGGTAGATGTAAAAATTTACTGGTAGAAGTAGATATGTGACGCTGCTCTCAGATTTATACTTACATTTACCTACAAGATCGGTAAATATATACATATACCGATTGTGTACTTTTACGTGACATATACTTTAGTAAATAACAGATATATTTAAAAATGACATTTTGAATCAAACATTTTGCTACTAAAATAAACATATTTATGATTTGCAAATCTCTTAACTGATTTTTTACTCTAACAGCTATAAATTTAGTAATTTAAAATATTTAAAATCCTGACTATTTATGACTCAAAATAACCACATATTATGTAAACATATTGTATAAATATTATTATTTTTTTTTAACCGCAGTTTATATAATATTGAGTGTAAAACTAAAATTATAATATTGCAGTTATTAATGGGTAAAATTGTTAATTATTGTAAGGTCTATCGACTTTGGTTTTTCTGTTATAATTATTTATAGTTTGTTGAAACATTAATTTACTTTTAAGAAAATATAACTGAGTTAAATGGAACTTTTGTTTATGTTTTTTCATTTCAATCAGTTTGAATTTTTAGAAAGACAAGCTGCACAAATATCTATTAATAGAATTCCATTTCTTATGCCAATGTTATAAATATATAATATTATCAAGGATATTTAAAAAAAATAATTATACGACAGTATTCCAACATTTGTTTTTTGTTTATTTGCGTGCATTTCTTGGAATCATTATTACCGCGAAATTCTAATTTTGTCGCTGTGTTATCGATTGGATTAATGAGCAGGTAGAGCCGATGGCTTATCTGAAGCAAATGTAAATAGCTTGCACTACATTCCATGATGAATTGATGCCGTTGTGCACACTCTCTGGAGTCTACTCTACTATGTAGCTCTTCATTCTTATATTATTTTCTGCCTGTTTCCCCCAGTTTGTTAATGCAATTTGTATTCATTTGGTGCAGCGTTGTGAGTGATTTGAGGCCTGTGGCAAGCGGGGGTGGTGTGAACGAGCCCAGTTGGCTCCAGTTCACCATCCCTTGTCCGAGGCCGGATGATAGAGAGGAGGAGGTCTACGATGATCTCTGCTATGTCACTTTTTCTTCTTGTTTACCCGAGGTACTTACTGGATTGCACAGACAACATAAATACCAAAAAAAAAATCAAATGCTGTAGTTTCCTTTTAGAATCTTTGACTCCAATCTCTTAGTCCAATTAGGCTGTAATTATCATTTAATTTACCTTCCGCATGCGATTTTACTTTTACACTTTTTTACTTTATGATTACTATTGTTTTATAGTTTCGTTTAGTTTTTTTTTTTTGCATTTTCGTTTTGTTATATTAGTAAACCGCCCCCGGCTATGTACGACAATGTCGATTACTATGCCTCGCTGACGGCGTCAGGTGAGGAGATTTACCAGGATCTTTGCTCGATTAGACAAGACGTAAGTGTAGCACAAATCTCCATTGAACAGCTTCTTAGAATTTAGCATTTCCTCTTGTTGTTTGATATGCAAATTAATGCCACCACGGCCCCGTGTTTCCCGTGCAGCTCGTCGGATCGCAGCCTCTGGAAAAAAGGGATTACGTCATAAAGGAATTAATGGACACGGAGAGTAACTACGTGGACGTGCTCAGCAAAATACAGAAGTATTACATCAATCCGCTCGTCAAGTACATGAATCCGGACGATCACAATACGATTTTCAATTACATTAATGTATGAACAAGCAGTTTATTTATCATCTTTGGCATAGATATAAATATTTTTGTCTTGCAGGATTTGCTCACTATACATTTAGACTTTAGGAATCAGCTTATAGATATTCAGGTGGATAAAACGAAAAAGCTGAGCGCTATTTTCATGGGCATGAGGGAGAGGTTCCTCATATATGGCTCATTTTGCTCTAATTTAATGGATGCTACCAATCTTCTGCAAGATCTGTGCGATAACAGCGAGATTCTTTGTATGGCCGTCGCCAAGTCTGACAAAGAAGCGAACTCTGGTAAATTCAAGCTTAGGGATTTATTGCAAGTTCCGATGCAGAGAATATTGAAGTATCATTTGCTACTGGAAAAACTAGTCGAATCTACAGACCCCGTAAGTCTACTAACTATTCGTCATATCATAAATACACATTGGTTTATCATATACTCGTGTTCTACACAAATCTCTAAATCTGCTATTTGCACAGTATTAACTGATAAATGCAACATCGTAGTAATATCTATAGTTAAAAGATCATTCATTCATAAAAACTACTGATAAAGTCCTCGCGAGTTATCAAAGATAAGACTCTACCTATCTTAGTAGCATGCTTTATGTAACTAATAGTATTTGGTTGGATATAAACAGATAATATAGAACAAAGTTGTGTGTACACAACAGACAATGCAAAGCAGTTTCTTTGAACAAATTAATTTACTGCTACAAACTACGCGTTAATTCCAAAGTAAATTATCAAGTATTTGTATTTCGCATAATTTGTATTTATAGCATAGCTTGCTCATTTAGCAAGTATCATCTGGTATACTGTCGACTTGATAATAATAAAAACTAATAAGTAAAACTTAAACAATACTTTTGATGTATTGTGATCATTAAACTTATTTATTATATTTATATTAAAAATTTATTAAATTAAGAAAATAAAAGTAATTAAGAAAAGTAAGTAATATAAGAAATTAATAATTTTCAGAATCATGAAGAATATAAAGAACTGAAGAGGGCTCGTGAAGCGATGGTGGACGTCGCGAATTATATAAACGAAATGGCCAGAGATAAAGACCATCTGAATGTGCTGAAGGAGGTGCGTAAGAACATGGTGTGGGATGGAAACGATTTCCCTATAGAAACTTGCGGTCGGTTACGAAAGGATGGTGAAATCAAAGTGAAAGAACACTCTGAGAAGGCAACAAAGTCCCGCTACGTGTTCATCTTCGACAAGTATATGTTCCTCACGAAGCAGACGCGTCCGAATCAGTTCATGTTTAGGGGGAAGTTGGACCTGGCCGACTTCACGATCGAGGACCACAATAACAGAGCTCTCATGAACCAAGGTCCTCGATGGGCATACCAATGGCACATGTTTAACAGCAGAAGATCGGTGGTGTACACCATGAGCGTGAAGAGTATAGAAAACAAGGAGATGATGATAAAAGCTATCAAGGACGCTATTGACAATATAAGGCCGAGCAGTTTATCCCTGACGAATCACCAGTTCACCATGTACAATTTCGAGAACCCCGTGTCTTGTAACCGTTGCTCAAAATACCTTAAAGGCCTAATCTACCAAGGATACAAGTGCGGAGTGTGCGGCATTGCCGTCCATAAGGAATGCATATGCACGTCAGGCCGTTGCGGCATTCCCCTACCCATTCGTCCCAGCTCTTCGTCTACGGAACCATTGGGTCTGCAGTCAAAACTATGGTACATCCCAACAAATACAATACAAACACTAGTAATAACTCCATGACAATCGTAGGTTTGCCGGTGAGAAAGACAGAGCGGAAGCCGCCGGTATATTGGAGAAGAGGAAACCGGGCACCTTCTTAGTCCGGATACGCATGCTGAACAATCCCGAGAAATACGCGCTCAGTCTAAAGTAATGACTTCCAACTGTTAACTTTTATCTTATTACATTATCGCATTTCTTTTTAAGGACTATGATAGGAGTAAAGCACATGAAGATCCTTTGCAACATGGAAGGAACCCAACCCAAATACCATCTGTCGATTTCCCGTTTCTTCGGTAGCGTCGAAGAGATGGTCGCAAATTACCAGCACGTCAGTTTGAAGGAGAACTTCGAGCGACTGGAAGAGTACGATAAGCTCGAGTATCCTTATAGACAAATCAAGTGCATGGCCACGCAATCTTATCATCCTGCAGAACCGGGACGTTTGTGGTTTGACGAGAAGGAAACCGTCATTATCATTGACAAAGAGGAAACAGATGGTTGGTCCAAAGGATTGGCACGTAGAGGCGTAAGTCAAAATTTCTATATAATTTTTGTAATATCGATAATGTAAATTTTATTTTTTTTAAATTTTTTTAAACATATTTCCGCATTAGTGTGGATACGTCAATCTGTTCGTTATCCGAATTTACATATCTTTGGCGACAGTTTCTTTGTTCGATTTGTTCGCAGTCCGAACTACAGTGGTTTACATTCTTAATTCTTGGTTACGAACGAAATATAAATTTACTATTTTCTCAAGAAATAAACATGTTGAATATTTTTTTTTCATAATTTTAATAACAATAGAATAATTTTATTTACTATACAAAGTTTGTAATTTATAATTTGGTTTTTCAGATGGGTTATTTTCCTACCAAATACGTTTGTGAACAGGAGGAAATTTTATACGATTTCACTTTCGACTAATAAACAACTGAACGAACTTTAGCTAGTCAAAAAAATGTAATGAAGAGAACGAAACAACAAATTTATTTTGCAATAATAAGAAAAAGGTCGTAAGTTGCAAAAAACGACAGAAGGCTCGAATCGTTTTAACACTTACGATCGTTTTAATTTCAAGTGATGTGATTTCGTTTTGTTCCAGCTGTCTGTAATAACGATTTTTAAAAAAAAAATACCATTCGCTGGGATATATACATATATCAAGAGTTATTTTCTGTGTTAGATAGCTCAAAAAATCTAGTTTCTTTTTTAATCTATACATATATATTTACTACGAAATTTTAAGGATTGATTATTTATATCCGGGGTTAAGCAAATGTTTCTACTATATTTCTGTAACTAAAAAAAAAACAATATTATGCGTGCAAATTGAAGTGCATTCTTTTATACGATAATCTTATTGATTATTCAAATAGAATTTGCATGTAATTGCGCATTCGATAGGCTACGTGAACTTTTAATGGAGGATATGATATCAATTATGTTGTCTCAACAATGTACACTTATGTATGTAATATTTTAGTAGTGCCATGTATTTTTTTCTGTTTCTTTTAAATTGTTTATTATTATTACTCTCTATTTTAAGCTTTATTGAGATTTTTTATTGCAAATTATTTATTTTCAAGTTATTGAATGATTCTTTATATATTTTATTTAAAATTTTAGTTGGTAAAATAATAATTGGATGCTGATAATTTCAAACCACTAGAAATTTATTAATTTAAAAAAACAAATGGGAATCTGAATCTCTGATTTCCGGCTTCATATTAATTGTTTCTTCATTATTGAAGATCATACGGGACATATCATTTGTATAATCTACTTACGGAATAATTACGCAACGCTGAGCATTCCATTATTTCTTTGTCATTCGATGTTATCCAGTATTTTGAAAGCTTGTGCCAAATATATAATACGACAAGGACAAAAACTGAGACGAGGAATTCGCAGAATGTAACGAATTAATTAGTAGTACATCGAAAGGAGTTTATAATATCGAGGTTTTCCGTCCCGAAACGTAAACGTGATGATGAATAAACTGTTCTCTTTTATTTTCTTCCTTTCGGGGTAGAATCAGTAACAAAGGATGAAGAAGAATAAAAAAAAATAACTAAACGTTTATGGTGTATTTGTGGAATACAATGATCGATGTAATATATATTTTACATAATAAAAAAATAATAAAAAGTTCGGATCATTGTAATAATACGAACGATTACAAAACAAACAAGAAATAAAGTATTAAAAAAAAACTAAATCGTACATCAATTAATTAATTTACACGTTGTCTATATATAAAAAAGAAATCATATTTATTGTATATACAATGTCAGCTGGTCTCTCAATCACGTCGTTTTCTCTTGTCCCTGTCATCCCTAGTTCTTTCAGGTTCCTTGCGTTTACTGGCCCTCTTCGCCTGACTTAAGAATTGATCCAAACCGAACGGATCCTCTTCCTTCTCAAACTGCACGGGGCCAGATCTGCCCGCTCCGCTGCGATCGGTGCCGCTGAATTCCTTGTCCGGAACGAAGCGATTTGTCTTCACCAACTTGTCGAGGTCTTCACCATAGACGTCCTTATCAATATTTTTGGAAGGTCTGTACAGGTTATTCGCCATTGTGCCACCTTCCCTGAATGGTTTATCATATACGTTATAACCATCATCCTCCCAGTAACCTTGTCCCAAACCTTGTGTTTGGCCGAACAGCCTATGATCAAATTGACCTTCGCTCGCCTGTCCCCTGGCTGGCATTCCGAGTGCGATCTGCTCGGAAATGTCACGATCTCTTTCGCGCTGCAATTTTGACCGCTTCTCCGGCGCCGCCCTCGCCAGATTCCTCTCCCTTGCCCTCTCTTTGTGCCTGTCCTGTCTCAACATATCTCTCTCACGTTCATCCTCATTGACCGACCTCTCATTCTCGTTAGCTGTGTGACTCTTAATACCCGCCCTTTCATCTCTGGCCTTTTGAGCCAACGCGCGCAAATGCTCTTCCTTTTGTTCCTTATCCTTCTGTGCCAACTTCCTTTCCAGCTGAGCTCTCGTTTCAACAGCTTCGCGAGCCTTTCTATCAGCTATATACAAAGCTTCAGCCAGTTTAGTGAAGTTCTCGCTGATGTGCACCTGCTGCAAACCCCTTCCATCGGCGGCCAAACGCTTATCCAATGGCACGGTGTAACCTTTGGCGTTCTTCCAGTTAGATATGCAAGGTGGGATCTTCCACTCCTTTTGTTCTTTAACGGTAACCCTTCTCGTTGGACTGTGAAGGACGGGAGCCGGCGGCGACGGTGGTCCCCTAGGTATTTTCTTATTGATCTTGAACCTTGGAGGCTCCATGGGATCAACCTGTGCTTCCACCAAACGGATAACCCTTTGTTTCGCACCGGAATTGAAGGCGGCGCCTTGCTGAGACGGTGTGTACCTAATGAACTCCGCTGGTCCCTGTCGTTCAGCACACCTCACCGGCATCGCAGCAGCAATTTTAGAGTTCGTGATCTTCATCAGCGCCTGCCTCGTCTTCTCCGTCACATCCTCGACGTCCTCCTGATTCGGTTTCTCTAAGCTCGGATCGTTCTCGTCCATAACCTCGACCGGCAGCAGATCCGACAATTTCGAATATACAATTTTATCTTTTGCATGTCCTTGCCTCGCGATTACGTCATATTTCACTTTTCCTTCAGAGTCCAACTGCACCGCCAATGCATTTGATGTGGATTCTTTACCCTTTTGTCCCATTTCCAGTGGATACTGCGCGACGTGGATTTCTGGGAACGCACCGCCATCTCCATAGTCTGTTGGATACCTCGGTATCCAGCCTCTGCGTTGTCCATATGGAGGCGCTATGGGCTGTGCCACAACCAAGACATTGCTTGGTTTATCCAGAGCCCTTTGTTTCCTCTCGTCATCACGGTCCCATACAGACTGCACAGGTGCAGGCAATATACTGTAAATAAAAACAATAATGAATTATACAATTATTTCATTACTTACAAATAATGAAGAGCTTTTTATCTATTACTGTATTACTTTAACCCTTTCATCACAGAATAATTATAATAATATCATTGGTACCAGGGGGACAAAGTCATATAAAAAATGTTTTTGTTTAAGAGTGTTCAAGAAATATGTACGTAGTGAGATAGTTTTGAAACTGTAAAAGTAACTTAATTGTTATTAATTCATAATACATTAACAATGAAATATAGTAAGCAAACTGATTTTTAAACACTCGAGAGGGTAGATGTAGTTCCCAAACAATGTTTATACATTATAACACATATATGAAGAAATATTAACAATATTTATTCTAATACTTTACAGTGTACAGTCTATGCAATATCATATTTCTTCACCACTTCCAAACTTCATTTAGATTTTGCTATTGTACCATTCCACAGCCACCTTTTGCTTGTCTTATGAATTCAATAACTTGACAAGAAAGATATGTGAGACCATGGCAAGATAATCGATATATTGAAAATAGGATACAGAACATATATAACATTTAAATGTCTTCAATTTACATTAACAAGTGTTGAATAATTAATCCTTCAACTCGTTGGTACCAATGAGTACCACTCCGAATATAAGGGTTAAGAGATGCAACATTATAATCATAACCAACATTAAAACAATGCCAAGTGATAATATAGTTGGTAGATGAAAGTAAATGATATTATCTCACATTCGACACTAGAAGTGTTAAAGTAAATTGTGTAAAGTTGAAAGCTTTCATCATATAAAATATTGAAATACAATACAGTTTGTTGAAAAACAAGGTACATAAACTGAATTTTTAGGATAAACCCAAGTAAAAATTAGCAAAAACATAATAATAAGTGAGGTTATAGATGCCAAGTGAAGAAACTAAGCTACTTAGCTTACCTGGTCAAATCCATATCTAGTAGTAAGAAATACACTTATAGTTCACAGAAACGTTAAACTAATACTAGATGATTACTAAATCCACTATTGAAAGAAATTGTTGTAATGCCCAGTGATGCCCAGAACGTCAAGCTACAACCATTAAATAAAAGAAACTACCAACATTGTAAAATAAAAATATTGTTTGGATGCGTTACAATTGCCAACCGAAGAATCAAATATGTTGACCGCAGCAGAAGATTACTGTAATTTGTTTTAAACTTAAATATAATTAAACATTTGTAGTGGCTGTTAAACCCGAAAGGGTTAGAAATAGGGCCGAAATAGGTTTATCTCAATAAATAAAAATGATATAAAGCTCTTTATTTAAAAAAAAAGTACAGTGGACCTCGATTAACGAGCACCTCGCATAACATTTCGCTTAACAAGCAAAATTAATTGTAAGAAAAATGACTCGCTTAACAAGTGAGTTAATGGTGTGTTGTTGAGTAGATTATCTCTTTATTCTCGGACGTATTTTTCTCTATTTTTTTTGTTTACTACTCACTAGATTTTCCCCAATTTGTAAGTATGGTTGCATACTTAGACACAACAGTTAATAATCCAAAGTTTTATAATATAATACGGTGGCAATCGCAAGCCCGAGAACCGAAATCCCGTCTATTGAAATCCCGTCGTTCGAAATCCCGAGTGTATTGAAATCCTGACGTTCGAAATCCAGACGTTCAAAATCCCGACAATCTAAAACTTAATAAGATTATTAATTGTTGTTATTTATTGTTAATAACATAAACTAATTGTATTATAGAATATTTCTTATTCTTAAGTTTTATAATGAATAAGTCAACGAAAAAAAAAAAGACAATAATAATTAATATTATTTATTGTTATTAAGAATAAATAACAACAATTAATAATCGGGCAAAAGAGCCATCGATCTAGGTTTTAAAATATTTTTTTTCAGTATCCGTCGTACCTTTTAAAATATAGTACTATAATTTAAAAATGTTATTGTAGTAATTATAATAATAAAAGACACTGTCGGGATTATGGTAGTCGGGATTTCGAACGTCGGGCTTTCAATAGACGGTCTTTCAGTGGTCGGGCTTGCGATATAGACCCATATAATATAGTCCAGAATTTTCATTTATTATATTATTATTTGATAATAATTTTATCATAATCAAAACAAAAATTAATTTCATTGATTTTGTAACTAACTTTCGGTTTTTTTTTTAATATGAAATAATAATAACTCACCATCTTACAACAAAGTAATATCTAAACATATATTATATGAGCCGTTATTTTTGAAAGTACTATAAATCCATTTTTGGAAAAAATGAGTTTATGAGTTTATTTATAATTTTACATTAATTGGAGCATGATTTCTTGATAAACTAATCAAATCAATTTTTCTACATAATATTATCGCAAAATTGAAAGTAAGATAAATATTTTTTTAGCATTAATGTAAAAATGTAAAAAGTCTAAATCTAATAATGATAGAAAAAAGAACTTTTTTATTGCAATTATTATTGATTTTACTACAGTGTGCAATGCTCTTTAACAGATATTATCTGATTGTGTTTTCTATTCTTTCGCAATTTCTACAATTTGGTTTGTGTTTCTTATACTAATCGATTACAGCGTCAGTATTATTTAAATATAATTGTTATAAATAATTTAAGATATTACAATGAGTTCACATAAGATCAAGAAGACGTTTTTTTATTCAAATAATGAAAGCAGTTTAAGAAATATTAATTCAAGATTGCTTCAACCTAAGAAGAAGATAAGAATTTTTGAATTATCAGATTCAACCACTGACGAAGACGACGTTACTAATTTTCGATCACATTATGAAAAGTTTTCAGATTTTTAATATAAATTAATTCATAATTAATAATAATAATTTATTGGCCAAACATTAATACATAAGAAGAAGAAAAAAAAGTACAATTTATACATAAATAAATGTTAACATATAATAAAAAATATATATCAATAGGCTGACCAAAGGGCTTAATTCATAATAAACTTGATTATTTGTGTAGTTTTTCGTCATTTTAATTATTATTTTTTACATTAAAAATGTCTTTAAATTTTTTTTTATGTCGTAATAATTTTATTCACAATCTGTTCATCAATGTGAACATTGAGTAAATTTATTTGGATAGTTATCATAATGGTGATGATTTTGAACATTAATAATTACTTAAATCTATATACTAAATCTAGTGGCTGTTTGTGGTTTCACTTTGTATATAAAACATTTATTTTCCATTGATAATTTCGACATTTTCCCTAGAAACCAATACAGTTTTCTAAACTTTATATCTAATCGCTCCCTCTTAGCCTGAATGTGATCTTTCCAGGAGAGACTTCTGTCGTGATGCATGTCTAGATATTTGACTTTTGTTGCTTTGGGCGATCTTGTCCATTAAGTCTTACAGTTGGTGTCCTTAACGTGAATGTGATATGCACGGATTTCATTTCGTTAACTGCTATTCTCCGTTTTTTAAGCCATTTTTGTAGCTTATCTAAATTTTCCTGCAGATATTGAAATGCTACTGCTGAATTATAATATGATGCCAAGATTGCTATATCATCAGGGAATGTTGCAATCGTAGTGTTGCTAGTTTTAAGAATATCTGCCGTGTATAGAAGGTAAAGCAGTGGTCCTAAAACTCTTCCCTGCGGCACCACTGATTCTATTGGATATAAAACACCGATTTTTCGTCTTCTATTTTTACTAGAAACATTCTATTATCGAGGTTTTATTATTTTAAAATTATTATATGAGAAGTTCATCTTCCGAGATGCCCGAGATGCCAAACTTAGTCAAATGTTTGCGATATATCTAAAAAAGCAGCCGAGAAGTATCTTTTACTTTCCAATTCTTGGTAGATGGTATTTACTAATCAGTTTACTTGCTTAATTGTGATGTGTTTGCAACGAAAGCCAAACTGATGGTCTGGTATCAGCTTATTTGACGCAATAATAGGTTGCAGGTATACAAATATTTACTTAGTTTCATATTGATTTTATTTTTTAAAATATGATATAATAGAAAGTGGCATAAGTCCACTAGGATTCTAACAATTTTAACAATTACTATTGCATAATGATTAACGTTTACCAATATTTTTAAATAGATTCAAAAGCAAAGTTTTAAATAAATATGAAAAAATGGACTTATACCACACATTCAAAAATAACGGTTCACATAATTCCTGTGCAACAATTAATGAAATACAATATTATCATTATTAATAAATCGCTCATTTTTGCGCCTTCATATTTTGCATAATTAAGAGGAATGAATATGTCGTTTTGAAAACCTGCGAAAAAAAGAAAATTAATAATTCAATCAGTATTTCCTAAATACACATTTAAATAAAATAGTAGGTAAGAATATTTTCCTAGAAAATAATTACTTTTCAATGTACAGCAATACCTTGCATAGTCCGATTTCAATCAGTCCGGTTTGATAATTTCAAGAACAAATTAAATTTTAATAAAAATAAATCCTAAAAAATACTCTTTTTTATACGTTGATGATCTTTTTTTTGCTTCTTTTGTGTGGTTTGAAAGTCATCGATTAGTCTGATTTCAAACAGTCCGGGTGGTATTGCTGTACATACAAACATTAAAAGTATTAATAATTCTTACAGCAGTTATAGCTCCTCGATAGATTTCCGTCAAACCACCGGCCTTAAAAACGAACTCTTTCTGAGCTGCAACTATGCACATTACCATCGATTTGCGGAATTCCTTGGAGCCGTCCTCCCAATTGTTGAAATAGAACGAGTTCGGTAATTCTTCTATCTACGCTCAAAAGTTAAATATATTATATCTTTATAAATGGTTAGTATACAACTTCTTACAGCAACTCCGAGAGACGTGGCCAAAAAACAGTATAAAGCAAATAGCAGATTCATCATGCAAATGTAGGACGTACTGAGAAATTTATTTCCAGTGCTTCCAACACTAATAATTTCGAAATAATTAGAAATGAAATTAATTTGCAAGTTAATATGATATGGATGAAGCTTACTTGCTTGTCAGCATGTAGAGATTCATGCATGTCGCCCCGATTGTCATCAGATATTGACCGAACAAAGGGATGCTGTATATTCGTTGAATATCGGATACTAAACTAAAAATAAACAAGAAATTACATTAAAAAAAAATGTAATATTAAAATATCACACTGAACAGCAAAATAATCCCGCAGGCCGACGATACCAAATACTTGGGCTTGTTCTTGGATCGCCGACTTACGTGGAAGAAGCACATCGCAACCAAGAGGAAGCAACTGGGCAAGAAGTTCGCGAAGTTGTATTGGCTGATCGGAAGAAGATCACAATTATTCCTCGAAATGCAAATACACTCGACTTCTCGGTATGGGTCATTTTACAGGAAAATGTCGGTACTAAAGAATACCAGAGTACTGATGTGTATGTGATGCGTAACCATTGGTATACGACTATTGGCAGATTGAAAAGTTTTGGAAGGGAATAACCAATTTTATGGTACAAAAAAAATATTTTAAAATTGTAGTTTAAACCATTTAGTCCAACGTTCTAATAATTCTAAACTATGTTTATAATGATTTGTATCAATGCTTGCAAAATAACTATCCACATCATTTTATTAACCATATGGCGTATTATGTATATGGGACATGGCACAAAAAAAGGTTGGAAACCGCTGGTCTACGGCATCAGTTGCTTCTAGGTTGGATTAAAAACGATTTCCAGAAACAATTTTTGATTTTGGTGATAGATTATTTTCTATTTCTATAAACCATGTCTTTTTTCACGCACTTTTTCATCCAATTTAACCAACAGACTTGTACTATATTTCTTTTACTTCTCTTAAGATAATCTATTAACTAAATTCCTTTTGCATCCCAAAAAAAACTGATGCCATGACCTTTCCTATCTTTGCCTTCATTGGTGTACTTGAACCATCTTCTAACCATTGTTTAGATTGCTTTAATACATTTATCATTTCGGTATGAATTTCTGGTTTCGTGTTTTTTCCCTCTTAAAAAAACGTACACGTCTACTTTAAACTGCTCGTAAACAACAAATGATAAAGAGATTAAAAACTGTCGTTTTATTAATGGATTACATGTTTCGTTTTCAAAATTATCCAAAATTTCCCTTATTTATAACGCGACAATGCGAGCAGTGCATCCAATTTTACCGTTGTTTACCAGTAAATGGTAAATATTTTTAGTCAAAATCGGTTTACCTACCGGTAAATTACTGGTATTTTTTTTATTGAAATTTTTGTGTGCAAAACGGCGATTTTATAAGTAGCAAAATAATGATGCTAATTAATACAAATATTGAAGCGCCGTTTGATTTTCCCACCTCTATTTAATAAAATAATATTTATCTAAATTTTTACGCAAAATCACTTTCAATTTTTAAGTAAAAAATACCGAATTTACCGGTAAAACGTTTTACCGGTAATGGAAGCGATGTTTGAGGGAATGTTCAAAATATTGTTCACTGCCAAA